GTGGTACCTGTTGTAGTCTCTCCTCTTTCATTTCTGATTGTGTTTATTTGGGTCCTCTCTCTTTTTTTCTTGATAAGCCTGCTTAAAGGCTTGTCGATTTTGTTTATCTTTTCAAAGAACCAGCTCCTGGGTTTACTGGTCCTTAGAATTGTGCTTTTAGTCTCTGTGTCATTTAATTCTGCTGTGGTCTTGGTTATTTCCTTCCTTCTACTTGCTCTGGGCTGTCTTTGTTGTTGTTCCTCAAGTTCTTGTAGGTGTAGGGTTAGGCTGTTTATTTGAAATGTTTCTATCTTTTTTAGGTAGGCCTGTATCACTAGGAACTTCCCTCTCAGGACTGCCTTCACTGTGTCCCTTCAGGTTTGGTTGGACTGTTCTGAGTTCATGTTCATTTGTTTATAAAAACTTTTTGATTTCTTCCTTCATCTCATTCTTGACCCATTCATTGGTTAATAGCATGCTATTCCATCTCCATGACTTTGAGCATTTTGGGTTTTTTCCTTGAGGATAGTTTCTAGTTTCAGATCCTTGTGGTCAGAGAAAATGTTTGATATGATTTTAATTTTCTTGAATTTGTTGAGGCTTGTTTTGTGTCCTATCATGTAGTCTATCTTTAAAAATATCCCATGTGCATTTGAAAAGACTGTGTATTTTGCTTCTTTGGGAAGAAAGGCTCTCTATATGTATCAGTTAAGCTGATTTGATCTAGGGCATTGTTCAATGTCACAATATCTTTGTTGATATTTTGTTTGGAAGATCTATCCATTTTTGACAGTGGGGTGTTAAACACTTCTACTATAATTGTGTTGCTGTCAATATATTTCTTGAAGTCCCCGAAGATTTTCTTTATGTATTTGGGTGTTCCTATGTTGGGTGCATATATATTTAAAATATTTATGTCTTCTTGGTGGATTCTTCCCTTGAGTATTATGAAGTGACCTTCTGGGTCTATTTTTATGGCCCGTTTTTTGAAGTTTGTTTTGCTTGGTATGAGTATTGCTACCATGGCTTTTTTCCCCTGTCCATTTGCTTGGAATATATTATCCAACATTTCACTTCCATTCTGTGTATGGAATGGTGACCCACACATCATGCTGCCTATAAGAGACCCACCTTTTATTCTGAGGTGGGTCTCTTATAGGCAGCATATGTGTGGGTCATGATTTCTTATCCATTCAGCTATTCTATGTCTTTTGATTAGAGCATTTAATCTATTTACGTTAAAGGTTATTATTGATAGGTACTTATGCACTGCCATTGTTTTGTACTCGTGTGCCCCTCTCTCTCACTTTTTCTTTTCCTTTTCTTAAAGCAGACCCTTTAGCATCTGTTGCAGAGGTGGTTTAGAGGAGGTATATTCTTTGAGGCTTCTTTTGTCTGGGAAACTCATCTCACCTTCCATTTTAATTGAGAGCCTTGCTGGTTGGAGTAGTCTCAGTTTCAGGCCCCTGTTTTCATTACTTGGAATATCCCTTGGCATTCTCTTCTGGCTGGGAGTGTTTCCATTGAGAAGTCAGCTGCCAGTCTTATAGGGGCTCCCTTGTATGCCACTTCCTGTTTCTCTCTTGGTGCCCTTAAGATTCTCTCTTTGTCATGGAATTTTGCCATTTCAATTTTGATATGTCTTGAAGTGGGTCTCTCTTAGTTCCTCCTGACTGGGACTCTTTGTGTTTCCTGGATTTGTGTGACTTTTTCTCTCATCAAATTAGGGAAGTTTTCCATCGTTACTTTTTCAAACAGGTATTCTATCCCTTGCTCTTCTTCTTCTCCTTCTGGTATCCCTATTACATGGATATTATTAGGTTTCATGTTGTTCTGCAGTTCTCTTAACACCTCTTTGCTCTTTCTGAGACTCTTTTCCTTTTCTTGCTCTTTTTGGGTGTTTTTTTCTACTTTGTCCTGCAGCTTGCTGATTCGATCCTGTGTTTCATCCAGCCTGCTTCTAATTCCTTCTACTGTGTTCTTCAATTCAGAAATTGTGTTCTTCATTTCTTCCTGGTTTTTGTTTATAGTTTCTATTTCCTTTTTCATACTGTTGTAGTTCTCAGTTCCTTGTAGTTGTCTGTGAGTTCCTTGAGAATCTTTATAACCATTAATTTGAATTCTGTATCTGATAGTTTGCTTACCTCCATTTCATTTAGCTCTTTCAGTCGGGAGTCTTCCCTTCCTTTTGAATGCATGTTCTTTTTTTGTCTCCCCATTTTAGATGAGTCTTTCTGTGTGTTTCTGCACTTCCTGATGTTTTGCTTTGCTAGCTCTCTTTGTAGTGTGAACTTCTATGATAGGAATTTTGTGGGGTTCAGTGGTATGGTCTCTTTGATATCCTTGTCTGAACACTCTAGGTTTGACCTTTCTTCTGTTTGTGTGAGTTCTTTTGATGTACTCGGGTTTTTACCTTTTGGTTATTTCTTTGTTGGTGGATTCTCTCCTCCAGTGGGCATATTGATGTTCACAGCTCCCACCTAATCTTATATGTGATCGGTGGCAGGGGGTAAGGCAAAATGGATTAAGACAGAGGGAAAATATTTTATAGCATTTAAAGTACCAACAGATAAAGAAGAGATAGGAGATCTTTTGGATAAGTATAGCATTAACTGTGTTATTTCACCCAACTAGCCACTTTTTATGGAAAGTGAAAGAAAGAGAAGACTCTTGTTAGAGGGGAGGAAGTCTGTGAGCTGAATCCAGAAAACAGAGAGCTTGTGCAAGGTCAGATGATGACATATAGTGAGAGTTAAGGATAGAAAGTAGGCGTAATGTGCAAAAGAACAGAGTTAACTGCAACAATAATAAAGCTCAGGAATGAAGTGAAGTCGGCTAAGATCAGGGAGGGTTGTTGTCTGGTATGTACAATTGTATGGAAGAACAATTATTTACAATAACACTGGAACAACAATAATATGACAAGAAATATATGATTTGGATAATCAGAATAAAAAGTACATGATCAAGAGTAGTGTATTACGGCCCTGGCTGGTATAGCTCAGTGGATTGAGTGTGGGCTGCGAACCAAAGCGTCGCAGGTTTGATTCCCAGTCAGGGCACATGCCTGGGTTGCAGGCCATGACCCCCAGCAACCACACATTGATGTTTCTCTCCCACATTCTCTCTCTCTCTCTCTCTCTCTCTCTCTCTCTCTCTCTCTCTCTCTCTCTCCCCCCTCTCTAAAAATAAATAAATAAAATCTTAAAAAAAAAGAGTAGTGTATTACTAGAACATGAGTGAAGTGAAAGAAGAAATATTAAAATACAATACAGAGAGAATAAGGAAAACCAGTCAAACAATGCAATTAAATAGAGAAATAAAATGAAGAAAACTAAACATAAGAGAAATAAGAAAAATACTAATAAAATAAAAGCGGTAAAATAATGAAAAAAATAATAATACACATAAAGAATAAAATGCCAGCGCTATGGGACAGCAAAGTGACATTTGTCTCAGTTTCTCAGTTTTTATGGTTAGCCTTGTGCTCTCCCTTTGGATCTGTTTCTAGATCTCTCATAACTCCATGTCCTATTGTCTCACTTGGGCATTTCCACAGTGTTGAATCCTACAGATAACTTGGTCAGGGAGTTAATATTTCAACACATTCCTACGCTCTTGGACTTGTTTAATTGGCAACTGAGAGTATACTACAAACATGAATAATGTTAATTATGCTTTTTATAATACCAGTCAAATATTAACACTGAGTATTTACCAAGCCAAGGACTGCACACATCATATTAGCTCTTTGTCTGTCACTGTGACTTATTTTTGGCAATGCGGACACAGGTTGAAGAGGAGAGAAATTCTGCTTATGCTAGTTAGTAAATGGTGGAGTCTGGTTCTAAAGCCGTAATCTGTCTGACTTAAAACCACTGCTGTGAACCATTACAGACCAGATCCTAGAAGACAGCCCCTCCTCTAATCCCACAGCAGTGGCGGGACACATGGGCAGAGCAAGACAAAGAAGACAGAGCAAATATCCCAGGAGAATGGCTAATGCAAACACTGTATGAGCACTGTGTATGAATTAACTCATTTAGTCTTTATGACACAAAATTCAGTAGGTGTAACTTTGAAAAATATGTATGAACTAAATAAGATTAAGGATTGCTATTGGTATGGTAGGATAAATTCAGGTATTAAAATATGAGATTTCCAGTTTTATATTCTTCCCAGTTTCATCACTTACATGAAATAGCATGTTAACAACAAGAACACAAAAATTAAGGACATAAACTTAGCATGAATAACAGTTCTGTAAACTAATCAGCTAAGAGGGCTGCCCTTTATTCTGTCCTGATTTCATTTATTCCAAGTGTTGTTTAAGAGAAAGGGATAAAGACAGAACAAAAATATTTCTGTGACAATTCTGTGAAAACATTTTTTGTATCATTTTCTTTATGAAGGAGTTGGCACAGGGGCTCAATTACACAGGAAACTAATAAGCATATTTCTCAGGCATTTCATTTTGAAAACCACTCCATTTGGATCTTGATTTATGCCATCTGTTTTCCTCCTCATGGGGGCTGCTCTTGCTTTATTTCAGATACAAAAAAATATTCCAGGAAAGAAGATTTTAGAAAATCAATTTTAGGATTGCATTCTAGCCATAAACCACTACCCCCTTCAGGAATTACTTTGTCACATTTCATCTAAATTGCTAACACTACAAATATATCCTACCATACTCCTTCCATATACCTGCAAAGATATGTATTTTCTAAAAGCATAAGCACTCCAATTTATAGATTTAAAATGATAAATTAACTTATGCATTAACAAAAAGCCAACAGTACAAATATGGGATTAAGCGTGCTATATTCAGAATTCAAGAGAACCTAGGAGTCTTTATTTCAGTGAAGAGCTGAGGGATTTTGGTTGTTAACTATCAAAACCAGGAAAGAAATAGTCCAAGCAGAAACTGAGACTTCAAAATATGAAAGCTACAAACTATCAGATTCAAGACCCTTTCAGAATTAAACTACAGACAAGCAGATAAGGTCCCAAAGCCTTACCAATGCCAGAAATAGCACCAAAGAGATCTTTGTGCAGATTGTTATCCAGCGTGTTTCCAGACTTCTGTGGTGTCACCAATGGATTTACAGCTGGTAAAATAAGTGATTCCTCCTTCACAGTCTGCCAAAGGGGAGAAAAAGAAGAAACAAAGATGATTAAAAAGGCATCAACTGATTTTGGAAGTGTCAAACGTTAGAACAAGACAGAACAGCCTGACAAGTTAAATGTGCCTGAGTAGGAGAAGCAGGCACAGGATATGAGAGAGAGGAAGATGGCAGGTAAATCAGAGGAAGAGTAAAGAGAAGTGAGCATAGATATTTAAAGTAGGGATAGGGTGGGCAGAGAAATCTTGGCCATAAAGTCATTTCTTTCCCCAGAAGATCTGGCACCTCTCCCTTTCCAGAGCTCTAACGTCCAACATTGCTTTAAATTATTTTGGTATGTTTCTTTTCCTTTAGAAAAAGCCTCATGTGTTCTTTCTAACCAGGACACTAGTTTTTCTCTCACATCAGAAACCCTCCTACATGAGCAACAGTGGTTTATAAGAGCAGCAGTGAAAAATCTCTGCAAATTTGGAGCTTCATAAAGAACTCCCAATCAGTGAAGAAACCATGTTAATTTTGAAGTGATATCACAAAAGAGATTTAACTTGGTGTAAGCCAAGGAAAGAACTTTGTTCCTTTTTCTCAGGACTGAAGCAGTACAGAGAGGTTACATTATGCCCTGAATTACCTGTTCTGATTAAAAAAGGTTTAGAGAATACACATGGGAAACACAGTGTTGTACAGGGTGAGATTAGTGTGGCAATTCATTTAAGGGCAGTGAAAGTTTATGCCCTTTGGAACTGAAAAAAAAAACATTCAATAAATATGGCTCATCTCAGTGTATTACTATTTAGACATATTCGGAGGTGGAGAGTAAAAAAAATGGAATAATGCATCTTAATTTCTGGAAAAGGGACAGAAAGATCAAAAGAAACTCCCCAAATGTACGCTAGATGACAAAGTGGCAAGATTAATAGCTGAGCTGGTTCATGGATCCAAAATGAAAGGGAAAAGGAAATTGCTGAGCTGGTAACATCTACCCAAATTAATGGCAGGTGGTTCCTAATTTTAAAGTTTTGAGGATCAAATTTCTGGGAAAATTTTAAATTTCTGGGATCATCCTTTAGTCAACTTAATTTCCAAAATATTTTTAAATGACTGCATGAAGATAATATAAATTAAGGTGCTCAGTTCTTGAAGGTGGGACCTATGTCACTCACCTTGGCTCTCTGACATCCAGCTTGATTTTCTACTTTTAGAGAGAGACTTTAGCCCAAAGAGGTGGTTTTTCCAAGACTGTTGTATGTTACAACCAGAACTGGGTCTAAAGATTTGTAGACGACATAAAGAAGATCCTGATGTTTTACAAGATATTGGGGCATTAGAAAAGCATGATTTTATAATGATTTTTAACAAGAGTTGAAGGTTTACCGATTGACCTCATCTTAGCCAGAAATACAGTTTACTAGTACTGTGCAATATTATTGTTTTAGTGGCAACGCGCACACACACACGTGCGCACGTGCGCGGAGGGAGTAGGGGAGAGAGAGACAGAGAGAGACAGAGACAGAACAGGTATGTACTGTGTTAAATAGTGTCCCCCTCCCCACCGCCCAATTCATATCCATCTAGAACCTCAGAATGTGATCTTTGGAAATAGGGTCTTTGCAGATACAAAGACGTAAGGTGAGATGAGGTCACCCTGGATCCTAAATCCAATCAATTACTGGTGTCTTTATAAGAAAAGGAAGAGTACAACAGACACACAAGGGAGAGAAGGTCATGTGAAGACAAAGGACAAGATCAGAATGATGCAGCCACAAGCCAAAGAATGTGAGGATTTTAGGCAACCACCAGAAGCTAGGATAGAGGCAGGGAATAGACCCAGAGCCTCCAGAAGGAACCAACCCTGTTGACACTTTCATTTTGGAGGTACAACCTCCTGCCTATGAGAGAAGAAATTTCTGTTGTTTTGGCCACCTAGTTTGTGGTACTTTGTTAGGGCAGCCCCAGGAAACAAATACAGGCTGTATATATGTGAATACGCTTACGTACACTGCCAGCATTCACGGGGAAGGGTGATACATCTCTCACATTGATCCGCTGGACATTTTCAATCAGCAGACCAAACAGAGGCAGGTAGAGAGTGGCTATCCTTGCTTGATGGCTCTGAAACAAAGGCACACATTATAAGTTTATCCCAGGCTCTGAGAATTTAATGACAGACTGAGCCAGTATTAGCCATCTCCTGTATTCAGATACTTCCTATAAAGACTATTAGATTTTATTGCATAAACAAAGAAAAGTCTTAGTGCTGTCACCACTAATTTTCTAACTGTTAGTTTCTTTATATTACTTGAAATAAAGGACATTTGTCAAACCCTATTTCCGTGCATTAGGGACCACTCACTCTTGAAGCATATCTGTCATCAAAAGAATGTTTTATCAGCAGATTCTTGAGCATGCTGATGGCGATCAGTCGAACCTCCCTGAACTCCTGGAGGGCAGTTCCCACCTCCCTCAGTAACAGTCCTACCAAGAAGTGGTTTCTGCAGAACTCATCTGTTAATGAGTAGTCAAGCTGGAGATCTGAAATGAGGATAAAAACTACTTTAGTTAAAGAGAATATACCACTCTTTGAATAAAATAAAAACCAAACCCACCCTGGGTGTATCAACAGATGACAAGACTTGGCTTCCAACTGGAAAAGTTTGACTATCTAAAAGAGCTCTGCTTAACACATGGAGCTCTTAATGAAAACAAAATTTAAATACAAATAACTGCAGTGGATTTTAAAGCATATTACGTCCTATATAATTAAGTTAGTGAATAGTTTTAGAACCAATTTTTAGAATATAGAACATATATTACATTACAAATATAATTTTGCTATTGAAATGAAATTTAGACAGTTATCATGCTAATTGATAGTATTATAGAGAGAAGTGGTCTATGGATAACAAACATGTAATAAAAGAAAGAATAAAAATACATGGTCTAGTGAAATGTTCTTTACTAAATGAGTTCATTACCTGGTCATTAATACTTATATATGTCCATTAAAAACAATATGTTTAAAATTAACAAGTTAGCATATAACCTATTTACTTCATTATCGCTGAATAAAAAAACTTAATGTAGATTTTTAAAAAATATAATCTTAATACTTCTGCACCTCTAAAAGCAAATAAAAAAACTAATATAAACTAAAATGAACATGAACAAAACACCAACTCAAACTGGTAAATCATCATCAAACTAAATGACAAAATTAAAGCTCTTCTGGAGAAGATATACTAGTAAATGCAAAATCTACTTAGAGAAGGCAAATAAAAACGTAAAAACATCACTCTGAAGCTGAAATACACATTTTCAGTAAGCTGTAACAAGGATTTTAATTCAAATTAAAAATTTTTTAATATTCTTGGTGGCTGTGAGATTTCAAAACAATTTATTTTTTAAAATGTATTTTATTTATTATGCTATTACATTTGTCCCATTTTTTCCTCCCCTTTATTCCTCTCCGCCCTGTACTCCACCTGCCACCAGCATTCTCCCCCTTTAGTTCATGTCCATGGGTTGTACATATAAGTTCTTTGGCTTCTCCATTTCCTAGTATTATATTTCCTACACTATTTCCTAGTATCTCCATTTCCTATACTATTTTTAACCTCCCACTGTCTATTTTGTACCTACCATTTATGCTTCTTAACCCTGTACCTTTTCCCCCATTCTTCCCCCTCCCCCACCCAATAACCCTCCATGTGATCTCCATTTCTGTGATTCTGTTCCTGTTCTAGTTGTTTGCTTAGTTGTTTTTCGGGGTTTTGTTTTTTTTTTTTTTTTTTTTAGGTTCAGTTGTTGACACTTGTGAGTTTGTTGTCATTTTGCTGCTCATATATTTTATCATCTTCTTTTTCTTAGATAAGTCCCTTTAACATTTCATTTAATAAGGGCTTGGTGATGATGAACTTCTTGAACTTGACCTTATCTGGGAAGCACTTTAGCTGCCCTTCCATTCTAAATGACAGCTTTACTGGATAGAGTCATCTTGGATGTAGGCCCTTGCCTTTCATGATTTTGACTACTTCTCTCCACCCCCTTCTTGCCTACAAGATTTCTTTTCAGAAATCAGTGGATAGTCTTATGGGAACTCCTTTGTAGGTAATCGTCTCCTTTTCTCTTGCTGCTTTTCAGATTCTCTCATATTCAATCTTGGGTAACTTAATTATGTTCCTTGGTGTGTGCTTCCTTGGGTCCAAAGTGGGTCCAACTTCTTTGGGACTCTGAGCTTCCTGGACTTCCTGGAAGTCTATTTTGCTTGCAATGCCTGATTGGGGAAATACTCCCTTATTTTTTCAAATAAGTTTTCAATCTCTTGTTCTTCCTGTTCTCCTTCTGACACTCCTGTGATTTGGATCTTGGAACATTTCAAGTTGTCCCAGAGGTTCCTAAGCCTTTCATCATTGTTTTGAATTCTCGTTTCTTTATTCTGTTCTGGTTGAATGTTTATTTCTTCCTTCTATTCCAAATCATTGTTTTGAGTCCCAGCTTCCTTCCCTTCACTGTTGTTTCCCTGTATGTTTTTCTTCATATCCTTCACTTTTCCCTCTATTTTGCGACCATACTGTCTTTGTCTTAGCACAACTGTTATGGAGTAAGGGTTGGAGCCTTAGGTATTCACCAAGGCAGGGCAAACCACATCCCTGGTTGTGGCACTGTATGTGTGGGAGGGGTCCACAAGGGAACAATGCCACTTGCTGGGTTCTCAGCTGGCTTTTAGTCACTTTCCCCACTACCCACAAGCAAATTGGGCCATTCTGGTCCTGATTCTGGGCGGGTGGGTGAGTTTGTGTATGTACATTTTAGGACCCTGTGGTTCTCTCCTGTGAGGCTGGGTGTTTCTCCCATCGCCACAACCCCCACAGGTTTTTACAGCCAGAGGTTTTGAGGTTCTTTTCCTGCACTGGAACCCTGGGCTGCATGGTGTGTCTCACTCCCCAATTGTTCCTCCTGGTTTATCCACAGGAAAATGTGGGATTACCAGATCCACCAGCCACCACCTTGCTGTGCGTCCTCTCTGTCTGGCTGCCTGTCTCCACTGCTCCTACAAGTCTGAATGAATGTTCCTTTAACTCCTTGGTTGTTGGATTTCTATACAGTTTGAATTTCTGGTAGTTCTGGTTATTTTTTTGTTTCTAAATTTGTTGTTGTCCTTGTTTTGGTTGAGCAAGGAGGCAAAGTATATCTACCTATGTCTCCATCTTGGCCAGAAGTTCAAGGATTTTAATTCTTATACTGAATGCATTATTAGAGGAAAATGTATATGCCCCTCATTTGAGTTTAATCTCCTATTATTACTCCTAAACTTATCGAAAACACTGACTCAAATCTCATGATACTGTTACCGTATTTAGCAAATTATTGATGGGAAAGGAGGAACAAAGGTACTTGGACATTGAGGTTAATAAAATGGGAAACATAAACCTGCTTGCTTATCGACAAAGCTACAGCTTTACACCCAAGGGGATTATACCATTACTCTCCCAAGGAGATTAACACTCCTCCCTTTCCTTGTCTGGAAGTGGATTGTTAAGGGGTCCAGGGGGAGGTGCTTGACTATAGAAGCCTGTCAGTCTAACTGGGGGGCATGGACCTAACCCTGGGGTCCAGCGTGGGGGACGTGCTAAACCCTGGGAAATTGGTCATTTGGTAAAAAGCACCAGGTCAGTCCCAAGCCCAAACTAATATAATTCCAGGGAGACAAAGAAACACCCGCTCTCGCTCTCTCTCTGTCTCACTCTCTGTCTCTCTCTCTCTCTGTTACTTGTGACTCACACTCACCCCATGTACTTGCATGTCCTTTCTCCATAGCCATGTGGCCTTGGCAGCTACATGGCCTATGGCCATGCAGGCTACACACACAGGCTCCAGGAGAGAGCCTGAATACCACAGCCAAGCAATAGACTGCAGCTAGAAACACATGGTAAGCTAGCCAGATGTTGGAGTGGACTGCACACTGATATGGAACAGAAATTCTGGCACTGACTTTCATCGTGGCCCTGCTGAAGACAAGACTGGAACTTTTCATGGCAAGATGGATAGAGATGGAACACTGGAAGCAGGAGGGAAACCCAGTTAATTTTTCATCATTGGTAAAGTTTACCACAGAGCCACATTCTCCTATGTAGTCTTAGGAAATTCTTTTCCATGTGATACCACAAGAACTCATTTTCCATTGATAACAAAACCCTTTAGCAGCAGCAAGAGAAAGATTATTTCCAGAATAATAGTGTCCACTCTTTACATTAAGCCCAGTTTACCCAAACAACAGCTCATAGCTTGAATTCAGATAAACCACTTAGAAGAAAACTGTTGATAGGTTTAACCATGCGTGTGTGCATGTGCAAATGCAGGGCAAAGGAGGGACAGTGAAATGGAGAGAGGAAAAAAATGATTAAAATATTTAAATTATCACTAAGTGACAGACACCCATCTGCCTGGGGCAGTCCCTCTTGTCACCAAATACCTAGCATTCTACTAAGAGTTTGTGTCAGTCTCCTGGACACCTGAAGGATTTCTACTTTGCTCAATAAGCAATTGGGCCTTGCTGGGTCAGAGCGGAAGATGGGCATTAGCACACGTTCACTGCTCAACAAGTAGGTATAAAGAGCTATCCTCAGTACCCTGACAGGTGAAAGGAAAAGACAGTCACAGTTACCAAGTACAAGGGACCTGGTAAGACTGTGAGGTGAGGGTGTGACAAGGTTTTAAGTGCAGGGTGGAGAGCAATTAATTTCAGTTGGGGTACTGGGAGAGGGTGAGGAGGAGACCTGGCAGGGTCCACATAGGAGGTGCTGAGGGTTTGGCTGGGGAGGAAGATGAGAACAACCCAGGAGAGTTTGAGGTTGAGGTGTGTCAGGGGTACGCATGTCATGTTTGAGGAGCTGGGAGTAGCAGGTGTTTCTGAAATGTGCGGGATAGGGGGTAGTGAGACCAGATAGCTGGGCCAGGGTTGGACCAGGGAATGCTGAATAAATGACTATTACCTTGGCCCAGAATGTTCCCCCCCCATGAGTGTTCATGGCTCAATACCTCGCTTTCTTCAGATTACCAATTTCTGGTCACCCTATCTCAAACATCACCTCATTTCATATCTCCTTTCCTTGCTTTGTTTTTCTGTCCTTAGCAATTATCACTCTCTAACATTCTAAAGATTTCCCTTAGGTAAAACAGCCAAGGATTATCATCCTCGTGTGGATGAAAAGGGGTTCTATGGAAAGTAACCTCACAGGTGATCTGATCATAAATTCCTAATTGGGCAGGTCATGGTGGGTAATGATGCCCTATGCCTATAAATTTTTTTGAAGATTTTATTTACTTATTTATTTTTAGAGAGGAAGGCAGAAAGAGGGAGAGAAACATTAATGTGTGGTTGCCTCTCACATGTCCCCTACTGGGCACCTGGCCACAACCCAGGCATGTGCCCTGACTGGGAATTGAACCGGGAACCCTTTGCATCGCAGTACAGAACTCAATCCATCGAGCCACACCAGCCAGAGCCTTATAACTTTCTTTAGTAAAAGATTTTTCTTTGCCTTAAGCAACATCTATCCATTGTTTTTGTGTATCTAGGTTACATTCCTTCAAAGGTTACACTCCTTCTAAATAAGGGTAAATATCCTTAAGAAAGCATATATTCTTGTTAATTATCCTGTAATCTCATCTCTACCTTGCTTTCTTCCACCTTCATGTAATCATAAACGAAGATGCTGACTGCCATTCTAAGAAGTATTTGAGATCTTGCTTTCCTCACAATTGTTATCAGTTTGGCTCAAATAAAATTTTACAAAAATTCTTAACAGGATTGGACATTTTTTATGTGGACACTTGTCCACGACTGTATCCTGTGGCTAAACACAGTTGGTACTGGGTAAATATTTGTTGAATGCATGAATACCCATTCCAGGACACAGTCCCTCTTCTATTCCTTAAAAATCAGTCTGAGTCATATTTTTATGTCTCTGAATGAAGGCCTTTGTATATTTCTCTCTGAACTTCAGAATCAGTTGATTTAGGTGTTATTAATAGTTTGGTGGCATCCTTTCACTTTTTCTCTCCTTTAGCTAAAACAATTCTGAGCACATACAAGGCACTAAAACTAGTAAAGACCACTCAACAGACCTAGCATCCTACCTTGACTGACTCAGTAAAGATAAAGAAATCACTATGAGCTGAATTAAAGAGGATAAAGGAAAGTTAAAAAAGACTCAACATGCAAACATAAAAAGCATGTGAAAAGCCGTGTTGCTAGTGATTTAGGTTACTGCCACCACTATAGACAAGGGCTATGAAAATGGTGGAATAATACATTTTTAGAGTAAGGCAGGAATTTTGTTTGTTTTACTTCTAAAGAAATATCCTAGAGAACCCATGAGCAAAAAGCAAGATGCCTCCCTGAGATGTTAATGCAATCTCTTAGCTACAGAAAGAACACATTCGCTGGTTTATCATGAGTTTAAAAACTGACCAAAGTATATGGGAAATGCCTAGATAAATAGCATACAAAAGCATTTCAGCAATCACTTGCATTCTTTTTCTTTTAAAGGAGGAAAATGCAAGAAAGCAAGCATCATACCCCACACCTACCTATAGGAGTTTCATTTGACTCCACAGTTGGTGAAAGAAAAGCTAATTCATGAGAAAAAAGAAAAAGTGAAACAAATAAAAATAAACCACAGGAAGTAAAATGGATTTCTATTGTTTAAGCAAAGGAATGTTTCAATGAAGAAGAGTCACACTAACATGAAATGTAGTCTGGTAAGTTTGCTGAAAAGTAAGTTCCCATAGAGCATTTAATCAATATTTTTAACATGGAAATTTAACTAGAAAAAAATTAACCCATCTATGAAAAAAACAAACAAAAAAATCTCATGTCATGTTGGAATCAATTCTCTCATCTTATTAAAAGTAAATGACTCTCTTTGTGAAGAGACTAAGTATATATATATATAAAGTTAAGATTACCTTGATATCTTTGAATCCTGCCTTTTCCAAATGGCATTGGTAAATTCAATGGAATATAATGTTCATGATTGCACACCACACGGAGAAATTCAAACTTGTATTCAAAGAGGGTCTGCAGGAAAAAAATGTTTAGTCTTAAGTTAAATACCACACTGGATATTTTATACAGCATCCTAAAAGTGTGTAAGAAATAAGAGACCCAGCCTTTAGCTTCTTGACCTTCTTAGAACTACATGCTCTGGGGAGAGCTACCAGCAGATTGTCCTTGGGCTCAACTAGCAAGATCAGCCCTTTCCTGGGTCTCCAGCCTCCTGCCTGGCCCACCTCTTTTGGACTTGCCAACCTCTAAAAATTTGGTCCTCAGAGGACTACCTGGAATGGTGCGCAGCTGGCACCTTTTGGTAACCTTCAATAGGCCAATTTTCTTTATTTCTTAAAAACATACATGGCATTACCCAGAAGTACTTTCAACTGAGGTTTTAAAAATGGCTGCGGCAGGAGAGCAGACCACGTGCACAGGGCTGCCTGAACGGGAAACTGAGATTCACAATGGACTGTGGACTATTGCAGTTGCCAAGGTGGGAAAAACTCCCAGTCTCACATGAGAGTTAATTGGAAAGGGGGGCTAGAGACGAGTGTGTGAGCTGCACTGTTCCCTCTCTGGCCCCTCCCCCACAGGCAGCACTGTAGTGCAACAAGAAGAGTTGCCCTGCCCTGGGGAATACCTAAGGCCCTGCCCCCTAGCAACGTAATTAATGTGCCAAGATAAAGAAATATGGCCCAAATGAAAGAACAGAGTAAAGCTTCAGAAAGAGCTAAACGATGAGATAGCCAACCTATCTGATGGAGAATTTAAAGCCCTGGTAATCAAAATGATCACAGAACTGATTGAGCTTGGTTGAAAAATGAAAGAGCAAATGAAAGATACCCAAAATAAAATAAAGCAAAATATTCAGGGAACCAACAGTGACAGGAAGGAAACCAGGACTCAAAACAATAATTTGGGACAAAATGAAGAAATAAACATCCAACCAGAACAGAATGAAGAAACAAGAATCCAAAAAAATGAAGAGAGGCTGAGGAATCTCTGAGACAACCCGAAACGTTCCAATATCCAAATTATAGGGGTGCCAGAAGGAGAACAGCAGCAAGAAATTGAAAACTTATTTGAAAAAATAATGAAAGAAAACTAACTTCCCAATCTGGCAAAGGAAATAGGCTTACAGGAAGTCCAAGAAGCTCAGAGACTCCCAAAGAAGGAAGACCCAAGGAAGCACACACCAAGGCACATCATAATTACATCAGCCAAGATTAAAGAGAAGGAGAGAATCTTAAAAGCAGCAAGAGAGAAGGAGTCAGTTACCTACAAAGGAGTGCCCGTTAGACTATTAGCTGATTCCTCAAAAGAAACCTTGCAGTCAAGAAGGGGCTGGAAAGAAGTATTTGAAGTCATGAAAGGCAAAGACCTACATCCAAGATGACTCTATCCAGCAAAGCTATTATTTAGAATGGAAGGGCAGCTAAAGTGCTTTCCAGATAAGGTCAAATTCAAGGAGTTCATCATCAGCAAGCCCTTATTAAATGAAATGTTAAAGGGACTTAGCTAAGAAAAAGACGATGATAAAATATATGAACAGCAAAATGACAACAAAGTCACAACTATCAACAAATGAACCTAAAAGAAAAGACAAACAACGAAACAAAAACTAAGCAAAATACTAGGGCAGGAACAGAATCAGAGAAATGGATATCACATGGAGAGATTTCACTGGGGAGGGGGAAGGGAGGAATAGGGGGGAAAAGGTAGAGGGAAGAAGAAGCATAATTGGTAGGCATAAAATAGTTGGGGAGAGGTAAAAAATGGTATGGGAAACAGAGAACTCAAAGGACTTATTTGTATAATCCATGGACATGAACTAAGGGGGGAATGCTGCAGCGCAGGGGACGGGGGGCAGACAAAGGGGGAGAAATTGAGAAGAAAAAAAAGAAATGCATGTTCTGTGGTATTTTAGATTTTAAAATGGCTGCAGGGATTTGTTTGAAAATTGAGAACACATTTCATTAAACAATATTCTCCACTAACTTTCAGAGCTTTTATTATTTATGCTCCTCTTACTGCAATAAAGGACTTCAGGCAGTTTATAATTATGGACACAGACTGAATACAATAGAAAAATGAGTAAGAGGAAGGGCACAGTTACTTCTATTACCTTGCTAAATAAACTATGACTCCCAACACATATACTTTTAGTTTTGCAGTTGAGAAGTCATTTCAGGTGTTTATAAGAAAATCAAGTAAATGTTTCTTTTACATCCGGGATTCTAGCTTCCCTAACATCGCACATGTTAACACAAGTAAGTACTAGTTAGTATCTTCACGAAAGGGGAGTAAGTAGTGCCTCTGAGACTGAAAGAAAGCTCTGATGTGAACAAAGAGAACTGGGTGGGTTGCTGGTCATGTATCAGTGAGGGAAAAAAAACAGCGTGTAACATACACACTACCTTCGGATCTCCAGGAGCAAAGCAGCTGATGTAGTTGTTGATCTGCTTAAAGACGAAGCCCCGGTCCATGAAGGTGAAACATCTCTGTGGACAACCAGAACCCACAAAGGTAAGTATTTAGGCCCAAACTTTTTAGAAAGTTGGGTTCTAAACAGTCTTTATTGTTAATAAGTTTATCTTTTAGCATACAAACATGTCGTTGACACTGAGCAACTAACTATAAACTACTATATACTACTCTGCTAGAAAGGACACTTCAGTAACTTAGCCAGCACTCTCTGGCCTGGAGATCCTCACCTTGATGAAGACAGCAAGGCTATGATTTGCATTCTTAGATGCCTCTGGGTTATCTCGAAACTTCTGAGTGATGTGTGGCATCAGCATATTCACAACAGTTTCCACTGCATGATGATAGGATGCAGGGAATCTCTGGTTTCTCAATACCTAAAAAAGAATTTAGAGCCAACATTCATTACTTTTTTAAGTTGCATCTTTTTGGGGGAAAATATCTCATCTCTGAATTCATTTTAAAAACTCAACATTCTAAGCTTATTTATCTGAAATCAGAAAAGATAAATGAATTCCATCTCTCAAAGTACATTACAAGTAATCTAATACTTAAATGAGTGCTAAGGATTAGACCTGAAATTTCAAACTTCAGCATGATAAAGGTCACCCTGGAGACGTTTATAAAAGTGTAGACATGAGCCTGTAGTCACAGAGATGCTGACCAAGAGCTGCATTTTTACCGAGTATGTTTGGTGATTCTAGTGCCTGTGCCTATCAGAGATCTCTTTAGAAAACACCACCTTAGGTTTAAGCTTCAAGTATTCAAACTAAAAACATATAGATTGGTGATTGTACATTACCAGTTGAAACTCCTTAGAGCAGTTCTCTTTAAATTAATTTTATATAGTAATTTTTCCTCAATAGGAATACTTAAGAAATTATACTCAGGCCACTAAAAAATTAGCTGGGTTCCACTTACTGTATATATATCTTTTACATGTCAGGAACTGCATGAGATATGTTTATGTGCTTTTTCATTGAATTATTATAAGATATCTTATGAGTTTAACCCTCACTTCACTGAGGGTCAGAGAGCTTAAGCAAATGTGTCCTCAGCCACACCACTATCAACTAACAAAGATTCAAGTCCAGATCTACCATCAGTTCAAGGCCCCTGCTATTTCTATTTTGTGACACCTGTTGCCCCTCCCTGCCTGAAATAAATGGAACCATTTAATAAGGCCTTAAATGTGGTGGAGTCTGAATAAAATGCTCCATGCATTTATCCACTCATGCATGTGATTCTAACAGCCACAACAGGGAGGTATTTTCATTTCCATTTTACAGACAAGGAAACAAGTGTAGAGAGATCCAGTAACCAAGTACTAACTGACCTTTAATATTCCTACTTTCCTTCTCCTTTTTAGCTGTGAAACCCTCAGGTTTTACAGAAGCTCACAGCTGTCCAGCTAAAGACTACATTTCACAGCCTAATTTGTTGCTAGATAAGGGCCATATGACTGAGTTCTGGCCAATGGGTCATAAAAGGGAAGAGACACATGCCTCTTCCAGCCATTCCCATAAAACGAGTGGCTTGTTTTCTGAATTCTCTTCTTTACCATTGCCTGGAATGTGTGGTGGTAGTGAGTCAGTTTCTTAATCATGTGGATAAAGATAACACCTGGGCTGGATAATTGGCTATAAGGAGCCCAAGTCCCTGAATGCCCTTGGGGGACAAGTTCCCCCACTCTCCCAACTGCCTACTGGCTCATAAATTTCCAAAAGTAAGAGATGAACCCTTCATCTTATTTAAGGCACTATTATTTTGGCCTGCTTTGGAGCAACCAAACCAGTATTCCAATATGAAACAAATAGTATTTTGTAAAATGAGAACTGGAACCCAATTGTTTCTGACAGGAAAGCATGCTTTATGTTTATGCATTAAATACCAGAATTTATTTTAAAATTTAGAAACACTAGCTTTATAATAATCTTAATTATCAAACCAGTAACAAAAAAATCTTTGTAAATTTATATAAACTTGGGAGTTCAGTGAGGTAGGGATCAAGTGATAAGAATTTCAAGTTCACCTACTTTCAAAAACAATACAGTAAAATCTGAAAGTACAAAGGGATTTTGTTCAATACATACAACCAATAACTCAATACTCAGGTAAGGCCAACTCTGACCACCAGACATGACAGCCAGCTGCCCAAGATAAAAAATAGGTCTCCCAAGAAATGCTTGTGGCCTTTAGCATGTGTCCAAGTCAATGAATGCTAAAACCATGAAAAGTGGATGGGGAACCCTATAATGAATGGAAGGGGTAGAACACCACATAAATCTATTAGTCCAGCGGCTTTCAAAATTTTCATGTCATAAACTAATACTAAAGTTCAGCAGCACAAAAAAATTTGCATTTTTGACGATCTGACAAAAAATAGGTGTAATTTTGATTCACTCACAATGGAAGGCTATTGTGTTGGCTCTTGTAATTTTTTAATTTAACAATCTGAGGTAAAGAGATCAGTGCCCCTGACCAGTAGTCAGATATTGTACATTTTATTTTTCTTTTTAAAAATATATTTTATTGATTATGCTATTACAGTTGTCCCATTTTTTCCTCCCCTTTGTTTCCCTCCACTCTGTAGCATTCCTCCCACTTAGGTCATGTTTATGGGTCGTACATCTAAGTGCTTTGGCTTCTCCATTTCCTATACTATTCTTAACCTCCCACTGTCTATTTTGTACCTACCAATTATGCTTCTTATTCTCTGCACCCTTTCCCCCATTCTACCTGCTCCTGCTCTCCACTGATAACCCTCCATGTGATCTTCTTTTCTCTGGTTCTGTTCCTGTTCTAGTTATTTGCTTAAGTTTTTTTGTTTTGTTTTGTTTTTTTAGGTTCACTTTTTGATAGTTGTGAGTTTGTTGTCATTTTACTATTTGTATTTTTGGTCATCTTCTTATTCTTAGGTAAGTCCCTTTAACATTACATATAATAAGGGCTTGGTGATGATGAACTCCTTGAACTTGACCTTATCTGGAAAGCACTTTAGCTGTCCTTCCATTCTAAATAATAGTTTTGCTGGATAGAGTCATCTTGGATGTAGGTCCTTGCCTTTCATGACTTCAAATACTTCTTTCCAGCCCCTTCTTGCCTGCAAGGTTTCTTTTGAGAAATCAGCTGATAGTCTAATGGGCACTCCTTTGTAGGTAACTGACTCCTTCTCTCTTGCTGCTTTTAAGATTCTCTCCTCTTTAATCTTGGCTGATGTAATTATGATGTGCCTTGGTGTGTGCTTCCTTGGGTCTGCCTTCTTTGGGACCCTCCGAGTTTCCTGGACTTTCTGGAAGTCTATATCCTTTGACAGATCAGGAAAGTGCTCCTACATTATTTTTTCAAGTAATTTTTCTATTTCTTGCTCTTCCTCTTCTCCTTCTGGGACCCCCATAATTCGAATATTGGAATGTTAAAAGTTGTCCCAGAGGTTCCTAAGCCTCTCCTCATTGTTTTGAATTCTTGTTTCTTCATTCTGTTCTGGTTGAATGTTTATTTCTTCCCTCTGCTCCAGATTGTTGATTTGAGTCCCAGTTTCTTCCTTTCACTGATTCCCTGTACATTTTTCTTTATTTCACCTTGCATAGCCTTCACTTTTTCCTCTACTTTGTGACCATACTCTACCATTTCTGTATGCATCCTGATTACCAGTAATTTGAACTCGGCATCTGATAGGTTGGCTATGTCCTCATTGCTTAGTTCTGTTTTTGGAGCTTTGATCTGCTCTTTCATTTGGACTATATTTTTTGTCTTGGTATGCCTGTTTATATAATGAGGGGAGGAGCCTTAGGTATTTTCCAGCGAGGGCAACACATGTTGCTGCATTATGGCACTGTTTGTAGGGGAGGGGTATAAGAGGGAACAATGCTGCTTGCTTGGATATTGGCCAGCTTTCAGTCATTTCCCTCACTACCCACAAGCAAATTGGGCCATTCTGGTGCCGATTCCTGGGTGGGTGGGCTTGTGGATGTTCTAGGACCCTGTGGGTCTCTGCAGTGAAAACTCATGTGAGGCTGGGAGTTTCTCCCACTGCCACAGCACCTGTAGGTTTTCACAGCCAGAGATTTTGAGTCTTATTTTCCCACACAGGAACCCTGAGTTTCTTGGTCCATCTCATTCCTCAGTTGTTCCTCCTGGTTTATCCGCACGCAAATGTGGGACCACCTGGGCTGGTCTGCCAGCCGCTGCTTTGCCATGTGTCCTCTCCACCCCTGCTGCCCTTCTCCATCCCTACTAACAGTCTGAATAAATGTTTCTTCTGTAATTCCTTGGCTGTTGGACTTCCATACAGTTTGGTTTTCTGGCAGTTCTGTTTGTTTTTTTTTAATTTTTAATTGTTCAATACAGTTTTCTGCCTTTTACTCCTATCCCAGCCCACCCCCCAGCCCTCCTCACCTCCCTCCCATTTCCACCCCCCTTGTTTTTGTCCATGTGCTTTTTATACTTGTTCCTGCAAATGCTTCCTCTTTTCCCCTGAAAGTCCCTCCCCTCTCCCCTCTGAACTCTGTCAGCCTATTCTCTATTTCAGTGTCTTTGGTTATATTTTGCTTGTTTGTTTGTTTTGTTGATTAGGTTCCTGTTAAAGGTGAGATCATATGCTGTTTGTCTTTCACCACCTGGCTTATTTCTCTTAACATAATGCTTTCCAGTTGCACCCATGCTGTTGCAAAGGGTAGAAGCTCCTTCTTTCTTTCTGCTGCATAAAATTCCATTGTGTAAATGTGCCATAGTTTTTTGATCCATTCATTTACTGATGGGCACCTAGGTTGCTTCCAGCACTTGGCTATTGTAAATTGTGCTGCTGTGAACATTGGGGTGCATAGGTTCTTTTGCATTGGTGTTTCAGGGTTCTTAGGATATAATCCTAAGCAGTGGAACTGCTGGGTCAAAAGGCAGATCCATTTTTAGTTTTCTGAGAAAATTCCATAATGTTTTCCATAGTGGTTGTACCAGTCTGCAATCCCATCAACTGTACACCAGAGTCCCCTTTTCTACACAACCTCTCCAACACTGCTGTTTGTTGCTTTGTTTCTGATGGCCATTGTGACTGGTGTGAAGTGGTATCTCATTGTGGTTTTAATTTGCATCGCTCTGATAGCTAGCAGATATTGAGCATCTTTTCATGTGTCTCTGGATCGTCTGTATGTCCACCTTGGAGAAGTGTCTGTTCAAGTCCTTTGCCCATTTTTAAATTGGGTTGCTTGTCTTCTTAGAGTGGAGTTGTGTAAGTTCTTTATGTATTTTGGAGATTAAACCCTCGTCTGGGGTATCACTGACAAATATGTTTTCCCATACAGTTAGTTCTCTTTTTATTTTAATACTATTTTCTTTAGGTACACAGAAGCTTTTTATTTTGATAACATGCTATTTGTTT